GAAGCTTGGTTTAGTGTAGAAGGCTTCCAGCCGTACATGTTTGAGCCCTTGCCTCGCAACGCTGCCAGTTCTGTTAGCTCTACGCCTGCTGAAGACACAGACGTCCATCCCCGTGAACACTGGGACGGAACTCAAGGGGAAAGGAAAGGATTCTTATTTCAACCGTTGCATATATCAGCTGCAAAATATGAATCAAGACTCTATGACCGAAAACATTTGATTGACAGATGACCGTTGATATATGATTGAGGTGTTCTGGCTGACGTATAACTAACTGGCCTGCATAAGATAACGAGAAAAAACACAGATTTTAAGACAGGTTGTTTTTTTTTTTTTATAGAAATTTTCTACATTTTGGGATGACATGGTCTGATAAAGAGTACATTTATATACATGTGATTTGAAATTTAAATATGATTTCCCCACGACTTTAATATCAGCTTATAACTTATGGTTTGTGTTATAACCTCGAAATATAATCTGGATGGTGCTTATTTTAACCATTTTACTCATATCCTTCTATTTTATCTTTAAAAATAAATATAAAGTGCATTAAAGGCGCAATTTATCATTATTACCTTTTAATGATATCCTAAGATTTTCATTTTGATTTCATAACAATTTTAAGAACACCCTCAGAAGTGTTATGACTAAAAATTTATCAGAAAACAAGTTATAGGAAAGCACTTTCCAACTCTGTGAGAAATGATAAATAATGTGCACTTGATAAGTCAGCAACTAAAGGTTTATTTCCAATAGATTAATTAGTTAAAGAGAGAATTGCCTGAGAACATTTTACAAATAATAAAACCGCGAAATTTCCCAAGGCCAATAAAAACATTTATTGAAAAGAAATATTTTGTGGTTTATATAATCCTGGCAATGACACTTCAAACTTCCCAGCTGTTGTTATCTAAAAATTCATGCCAAAAAAAAAAAACAGGGCAAAAAACTGGAACCCCTAAAACATGTATATTTAACTCTATATTTTTTTCTCTTTAATGAATAAAGAATAATTAAAATATATGTATCTATTGAATAAAAAAATGTCTTTTATAGATATGGATTTATTATTTTGACATTAAACAAATATAGAAAAAAATTCTACTGTAATTCAAAAGGAACTTGTTCAAAAAATAAACATATCTAGTAATGACTTAAATGCTATATCTAATGATACAATTAGCAATTAATCATTAGTTTAATCATTTAATGGTACATGTTATTATTTAATAATCAATAAAATAAATAAATTGACCAATCAATTATTTATTCACATTGATTGTTGCATTATTCACCTTTATCAAATGTTGTCCTATTTTGCCCTCCATACGCCTCAAGAGGTAAAATCAAAATGATTCTAAGAAAATAATCGTGTGATAACCTACTAAGGTTCTAAGGAGGTGGTTACTGACTGCAGCCCCCCAATTAGGAACCCCTGCAGCGGTCGCTAACTCTCTTTAAAAAAAAGGGCGGAGCTTCAGCACCTGGCTGTTCACTAAGGGTTCTGTCAAAATGCATAAAAAAATGTACCTGTAAATAAAGGGTTTGAGGAAAAATCCAAAGGTGAGGAGCACGGTGAGGTGCTTCCAGAGCTGCAACACCGAGACGTGAAAATCAAGTTCCAATAATCTGGAGAAAAGTAAAGAGGAACCAGATTCCCTAAAAAGGTCCAATTAGAGTGTCCTCTGCTGATGGCAGCTTTTGCATCTTTTTTCAAACAGATAATATGGAAAATACTTTTCTTGGCTTAACCTCCTTAATAAGGCCGTCACTGAATGTCGGGAATCTGTGAGCTCCGCTGATGCAGCTGAAGCATTCCTCTGTTACAATGTTTTTAATGTTCTTGTGGAAGTTTTTGGTTTAATTAGCTGTAAATCAGAACAAACAAATCCCTCTGCTAAAACAAATCTGCATATACGTTTCCCTCCTTAATTCAATTACCAAGAAATAGGAACTTTTCAATGATACTGCAATTTATTACCCAACTGAATAAAACCACCAGATCAAGCAGCTCCTCTATTTTAAAAACAAGCTGACAGCGGTTTGGTCGCCAGAAAACGATTTTCAAGTTGCAATGAAAAGAAAAACGGACCTGTGTTTCAAAATAAAATAATGAAAACAAACTGCTAAGTCAACTAAAACTACCTTCCCCCTGCTAAAGACCATTTAATATAAAAACCCTACGATATAAACCACCTCATATAGCACTTCTGATGAACATCCGCAAAATAAAAGCACCTTTCTTTTGAAGTTATCAATTTTTAAAGAACAAATCCAAACTACTGGCTTCCTGGGCCAAAAAAATAATACATCACTTTTTTTCAATGCAGCATAAAATAAACACATATAAATCTTTAAATACAAATCTTACCTTGTTGGGGAAAAAAGAGAAAATTATAAATATCACCAAGCTAGTTGGTCAAATCCAAAATGACCAGATGATTATTTCTGAGCCTCTTTTTCTTTATTTGACTCAATGTGTTGCTATAATATAGTTGAATTAACACGGAGAGAAAAAGAATGATAGCAGGAGAAGGCATGGAGCAGGCGGGACTCAGAAATCCCTCCCACCCCGTTCAATGCTCCTCTGCTCCCTCTCTCCCCTTCAGGCGCCGTTTTTCCAGCCTACTGCTAATCTGAAACTGTAATGCAGCCAATTCTCCACCTCATTCATTATTTCCTGTTTCCACACAATTTAAATGCAGAAATCAAAACATTCTTTTTTTTTAAACTCATTAAAATACAAACATTAGGCCTAAGATTATGAGCATGTGTCCAATGGTCTGATGGTTGTTTGTTTACAGGTGAAACGGTTCTGACTCATTACGGTACGGAGTCTAGAGTGGGGCTCTGTTATCTGGCACCAACAAATCTGTAATCCTGTTTTTAAAAATGTTTTTTTTTTTTTTTTTACATCAAGCCATTACTCCTGCAAAGGCAAGAAATTTCAGACATTGCATCTTAACATGAAGAGTGTGAATTGCAGCTAATGTTCTTTTACACGTCTGGCTTTTAGCCAACAGCTGCATTATGGGGGGAATTCTGTGTCATCATTGTTTCATGCAAAGAATACATTTTACAAATGAAATGTGAAAAAAAATGCAATCTAAAAAATTTTACTTTCAAAAATTAGTAATGAAAAAAAGGTTTTGTGATTAATTTTTTGATCACAAAATTTTTTTTTTTTTTATTTTCTTAGCTTTTACTTTTTCAAAATCTTTTTTTTGCATTAAAAATTTTTTTTAATAATTTTCTTTTTTATTGTTTTTTTAATAATTAATTTTTTTTTTCAGATTTTTGATTTTCACGTCTTTTTCAGACTGAGTTTTATGAATTTCATTCCTCTTAAACTGTATTTCACAGCTCCCAATTTCATTCTCTTCTCTTTATTTTTTTAACTTTTTTGGAATCACATTCTCTTCACTTCTAACCCAAAACAAACACTCGCTCTAGGCCAATAAAAAATGTTGTTGCCAACATCCACGCAGACCAATAGAAATGCATCTACGCTCCTCACTCCAGAGGAAAACCCGCCCCCAGAAGTGGGCATGTTATTGTAAAACACAATAAAAAAAAACTATAAAAAAACAATTTAAAAAGAATACTATATGTAAAGGTCAATCTGAAAAAGAGAAATTTGAATAAAAGTTTGAAAATGAAGAAAAATTTGTAAAATAATTTTGAAAATTGTAAAATAAAAAAATTAATTGTGAGATTTTTTTGCTTGCAACATTAACGGAACAAACTTCACTCCATATGTTTCTGAGGCCTTGCTTCCTGTCAAAGTTCAGGTTATCCTGGTTGTGCACTTTTTTCTTTCATTTTTTCCTTCCACTGAATAGACATTAATTCCCTGTGATGAAGTGCTCTGAAAACTTAGCATCTTAAACAATGACCTTTTGTGTCTTTTGACTGTCAAACTGCAGGCCAGTCCCATGACTGAAATCAAGAAAGGATGGTTCTTGCTTTGAATCCAACCATCCATCCATCCATCCATCC